TCTGCGGTGAGTGGCCCCGCTGGACAGTGCCCGCGTAGTACCCGCCAGATGTCTGCGGTGAGTGGCCCCGCTGGACAGTGCCCGCGTAGTACCCGCCAGGTGTCTGTGGTGAGTGGCACCGGAGGACAGTGCCCGCGTGGTACCCGCCAGGTGTCTTCGGTGAGTGGCCCTGCAGGACAGTGCCCGCATGGTACCCACCGGGTGTCTGCAGCGCACGACCCCAGAGGACAGTGCCCGCGTGGTACCCGCCGAGTGTCTGCAGTGAGTGGCCCCGCAGGACAGTGCCCGCGTGGTACCTGCCGGGTGTCTGCGGTGAGTGGCCCCGCAGGACAGTGCCCGCGTGGTACCCGCCGGGTGTCTGCGGTGAGTGGCCCCACAGGACAGTGCCCGTGTGGTACCCGCCAGCAGCCATTGGAAGTGAACAGTGGCATGGCCAGAAGACCATTTCCAGCTGTTCTACCCGCCACCTGCCCATGGTGGAAATCCCCTTGGAGGGTGCCAGCGCTTTGTTGTCAGCCCCCTTGCTGGGGTCGGCGCCTGCGGGGCTGGATCACAGGCCCTGCCCGACCAGGCATTGAGGAAGGGGTACAAGTAGGCAGGCTCCCAGGGACGTTTCATAACCCTCCTGTAGCTGCCCTTCAGCGCGCTCCTTGCATGCGATGTTGTCATGTGGCTGACCACCCTCTTTTGAAGGAGGAGCTGAGCAAACTGCCTTTAAAGTAGGGAAGAGAAAGGGTTCTTTCTTTGTCCTGCGCTCCGGCTAATCGATTACATTGGGCAAGGGATAAATACAGAGGCTGGGCTAGGAAGTGGAGTTGGAGAGGGTTTGGAAGCCGGGAAAGGGCTGGAGCCGAAGGCCGGGGCTCTCCCTCCCGTTCCAGTCGGGAACACAGAGAGCGAGAGACCCGCACCCTGAACGCAAAGGAGCACAGAGTCCGAGCACACATCTCCAGTTCCTCGCACGGCTGTGTCCAGAGCCCGGACACCCCTGGGATCCAGCACACATACGCGGACGAGCATTTCACCCTCCCAGTCCTGCAGGTGCTTCTCTGGCTTCTTTCTTTTCTGAAGACGGCAAGTGCCCGTGACGAGGAGTTGGTCTCAGAGGCAGCTTGAAATTCCTCAGCCCAGGGCATCTCCCTCCAGCTTTGGGGGTGCCCCAGGGACCTGTCCTGTGTGTGTTCCCTCTGCTGAAGTCCCAGCACTGCCTGCTCTGGGTATCCTCTGCCCTCCGATGCAGGGAGACTGTAAACGCTACTTTCCAGGTTGCTGCACTGGGGAGAGTTGTTCTCCCAAGACTTGTTCCTTGAACGCTCCGAGGGAGCAGAAACGCTTGGCTTTGCTCTGGCCAGAGCCGCAGCCGCTGTGGTGGCCACGCCTGCTTCTGCCCGTGTTTGCCAGCAGCAGAACCTGCCTGACACCCATCCCGAAGCTGTCGCTATGTCAACGCTGGCTTCTCTGCAGGTGCTGCTCAACTCCCTGAACTCCACTGCCCCCAGCAACAGGACCGACAAGCCGGCCAACAGGAGCAGCGCCTGGTGCCAGGGCGTCTTCATCCCCAACGAGCTCTTCCTGACGCTGGGCCTCGTCAGCCTGGTGGAGAACGTACTGGTGGTCACGGCCATCATTAAGAACAGGAACCTGCACTCACCCATGTACTACTTCATCTGCTGCCTGGCTGTGTCCGACATGCTGGTGAGCGTCAGCAACCTGGTGGAGACCTTGTTCATGCTGCTGATGGAGCACGGCGTGCTGGTCCTCCAGACCAGCATCGTCCGCCAGATGGACAACGTCATCGACATGATGATCTGCAGCTCCGTGGTGTCGTCCCTCTCCTTCCTGGGGGCCATCGCCGTGGACCGGTACATCACCATCTTCTATGCCCTGCGCTACCACAGCATCATGACCATGCAGCGGGCGGTGATCATCATTGTGGGCATCTGGGTCGCCAGCACCATCTCCAGTAGCATTTTCATCGCCTACTACAAGAACAACGCCGTCATCCTCTGCCTCATCGGCTTCTTCCTTTCCATGCTTATCCTCGTGGTGGGGCTCTACATCCACATGCTCTCCTTGGCACACCACCATGCCAAGAACATCTCCAGACTGCAGAAGAAACGCACCGTCCACCAGATGACCAGCATGAAGGGGGCGGTCACCCTCACCATCCTGCTGGGGGTCTTCTTCATGTGCTGGAGCCCCTTCTTCCTGCACCTGACGCTGATCGTCACATGCCCCAAGAACCCCTTCTGCACCTGCTTCTTCAACTACTTCAACCTCTTCCTCATCCTCATCATCTGCAACTCGGTGATAGACCCGCTCATTTATGCTTTCCGGAGCCAGGAGCTGAGGAAAACCCTGAAGGACGTGGTGCTGTGTTCCTGGTAACTCAGGCATGGCCGAGGGGCTGAGGAGGCCTGTTGTAGCCGGGGTTCCTGCTCTCAGAGGTAACTGCATGGCCATCTTGCAGCCCACAGCACAGCGCCTCCTAGTGTGCTTGGGAGGCAGAGACGCCATTTGCAAGGGGCACCGGTCAGTTCCCATCAGATGTCGGTGGCGGAAAACCAAGCAGGGTTTTGTTTGTTTTGGGGGTTGGAGACAGTTTAGCTGCTGAACAGCACCTAGCGCCTGCCCGAGGGGATGCCAGTGCCTGCATCAGCCCATCCCCTCCCACCCTGGGGCAGGTGCAGAACATGGCAGGGCCTTGGGCACAGCAGCTGCTGTTTCTGGCCAGCTTTCTGGTGAGGTCCCAGGGCACAGAATCTACGGTTCTCCCGCCACTGGAGAAGCACGTGAGTGAGTTCCAGCTGCTCCAGGGCTGCTGCTCGGTTCTGTCCCCAAGTAGGGATTCCTGTAACTCCCTCTGCTGCTTCCTGCCCAGGCAGAAGGGCTGGTAACTCTAGGCCAGGCTCTCTAGGCTGGGAACTAGACAGGCAATGAGTCTGCCCTTTTGTAGAGCTCGCTCCTGCTGGCTGCCTCCCCCTCCCCCAGGTGCTGGGCAAGGAGTGTGGAAGAGCCCGCCGGAGGGTCCCATTGTCACTGTTCCGACTCTACAGCACGGAATCATAGATTCATAGACGTGCCGGGCTGGAAGGGACCTGGAGAGGTCATCTCAGCCAGCCCCCAGCACCAGGGCAGGGTCACGTGAACCTAGATCATCCCCGACAGGTGTGTGTCCAGCCTGGTCTTTAAAACCAGCTTCCGCAACCTCCCTAGACAGTTTGTCCCAGTGCTTAACCGCCCTTACAGGTAAGACTTTTTCCTGATGTCCAACCTGAATCTCCCTTGCTGCAATGTAAACCCATTGCTTCTTGTCCTGTCCTCAGCGGTTCAGGAGAACAATGTATCACCCTTCTCTTTTTAACACCCTTTTACGTACTTGAAGATTGTTAGCATGTGTCTCCCCCACCCCGTCTCACCTTCTCCAGACTAAACAAATCCAGTTTTTTTCAATCTTCCCTCGTAGGTCGTCAGCCTTTCTAGCCCTTTAGTTGTTGTTGTTGCTTTCCTCTGGACTTTCTCCAGTTTGTCCACATCTTTTCTGCAATGTGGGGCCCAGAGCTGGACACAATGCTCCAGTTACAGACTAATCAGCGCGGCTTAGAGCGGAAGAATTGCATCTCATGTCTTGCTTACAACACTCCTGCTAACACAGCCCAGAATGATGATCGCTTATTTTGTAACAGCGTCACATAATTGACTCATATTTAGTTTGTGATCCACTATAACCCCTCCATCTTTTTCTGTGGTCCTTCCTAGACAGGCATTTCCCGTTTGTATTTGCAAAACTGATTGTTCCTTCCTAAGTGGAGCACTTTGCATTCGTCATTGAATTTCATCCTATTTATTTCAGACCATTTCTCCAGTTTGTCCAGATCATTTTGAATTCTAATCCTGTCCTCCAAAGTGCTTGCAATCCCTCCTAGCTTGGTATTGTCCGCAAACTTTATCAGTATCCTCTCCATGCCATTAGCCAAATAATGTATGAAGATAATGAGTAGAACCGGACCCGGGACAGATCCCTGCGGGCTCCAGCTTGATTGTGAACCATTGGTAACTACTCTGAGTACGTTTTTCCAACCTGTTATGCACCCCTCTTATAATAAGTTGGTCTAGGCTGTATTTCTCCAGATTGTTTATGAGAAGGTCATGGAGCCAGTAACAAAAGCCTCACTGAAGTCGAGGTATCACATCTTACTTCTCCCCCACCGCGACCCCATCCACAAGGCTTGTTAAAAGAAGGATGTTAGGTTGGTTTGACACGATTTGTTCTTGACAAATCCATGCTGGCTCTTACTTATTCCCTTATTTTTCTTTCAGGTGTTTACAAACAGATTGTTTGATTATTTGCTCCATCATGTTTCCAGGCACCGAAGTTAAGCTGCCTGGTCTGTAATTCCCTTTTTAAGGCTAGGGCCTGTATTTGCCCTTTCCCATCCTTTGGGCTCTATCTTGTTCTCCAGGAGTTCCCAAGGCACGTGGGAGCCTGACTGAGTGTCTGGCACTGCCTGACGACAGGGATGGGGGCCCCCATGGACTATGGTGCTTAGCCCCCGGGGCTGCTGGAGAGACAATCCCCATGCTTCTCCCTGGGCCTGCTGGGGGCAGAGGCAGGCTGCAGTGCCTGGCGCCAGGAGCTGTCACCCCCTTACTCCCTCACCGATGGAAATGGTCCCCACCCCAGTCAGCCAGGTCTCCTGAGGCCTGAGCAAACCTCGGGCTTCAGTGCTGATCCCAGCACCAGGGAGGCAAGGGGCTGCCCCCCTTGACACTGTCGTCCGCCCCGATGAGGGAGGCAGGGTCACGGGGTAACGGAGACACAGCGTGGGGCAGTGACTCGCCAGAGGCTACACTGTGGGTCAGCAACAGAGCTGAGCCTAGAGCCTGGGAGTCCTGGCTGCCACGCCAGGGCCCCATTCAGGACCAACCGTGGAGCTAGCCCCGGGCAGGACCAGCCCCATGCAGCCCTGGCAGGAGCCCTTCTCCTGCCCATGGGCAGGACTGGGAAGCAAGTGGGGACAGCCCTGCTGTGCCCTCCCATCTGCCAGGGGTGGGAGGAATGGCTCACCCTGCCACGTGTCCTCAGCCCTTGGTGCCCCACGGTGCGACATCCTCAGCCCGCCTGCTCTGAGGGATGGGCACTGCCCCGGGCACGGCGTCCTGGAGAGAGCAGGGGCAGGGCCTGGGGAGGGAGCCAGGTCATTGCCCTGAGGAACAGCACGCTGGGCCTCCCCTGCACTCCGGACAGGCCCAGGGACTGGCAACAGGGACGGGAAAAGCCCAGAATGTCAGGCAGCAAAGCACATACCACAGACACCCCCATGCCAGCGCCCCTCCCTCTCACACCCACCACAGACACCCCCACGCCAGTGCCCCTCCCCCCCACGCCCACCACACACACCCCGGGCCAGCACCCCTCCCCCCCACCACACACACATCTAGGCCAGCGCCCCTCCCCCCTACACCCACCACACAC